GTACTACAAATCTAACGATTTTTCAAAGTAACCACAATCTGGGATCATATGGAATGTAAATCAAAAAAAGGATGGTCTGATAGAGGAATAGAATTAAACATGGCAGTGGGTAGCCGACGAGTGACTAGCCATGGCTCTAGAAAATCCCCTGAAAACAATCCGTCAAGTTGTTAGGATTCATTGGAAAAATGTCAAAAGTCTACATCTGGTGGGTTTCAGTAGAGATTAGAAGTGGCAAAAAATTGAGAAATATTTTCAAATGAAGTATGAGTATAGTTTTTCTGTAAGGGCATAATATTTGAAAAGTACATTGAACGGAAAGCATCACTCAAAGAGTTTATATTCACTCTATCGGAAGCAAAATTGAATGAAATAAAATGAATTTTTCTGTTTGGTATATGTCCTTGTCTGTGTTCATTCACGTGCTCGAATGTATTCAAGTATATTGAAATTAGCTGTCTAATCTGATGGATACTTTTAGTAGGAGCGTCACTAATGAGGCACATTCCGATTACATATCAGATCTAATATAATTTATTTGGAGCTAGAAGTTCAGTTGAACTCATGTTTTTGTAGTGGACGCTCTGGCAAACGACAGTGTCAGTTGATATGCTAGTAACCATAAGGACTTTTAGCAGAATTTTCAAGGAGTATGAAGCGTTTTCACTCTTGTGTCACAGATGTGTTTTGCTTCTTGATCAAGGGGGAATCGACAAATTGTGAGTTTGGGTGAGTTTAGTAGAGTTTGAATCAACTCGAGTGATTTTAACTGATATACATCATTCATCATAGTAGCTGAATTTCGGATTGATTATAATCGTTGTTTCTCTTTTCATAAAGGGATTAAATGTAGCGAATCTATATTCACTAGAATCAAGTGTTTCTCTAGACCGGAAAGAGGTTTTTGGTAAATTCATTGCTGAAACAATTATGTAAAATAGAAAATTAATAAAGATACAGTGGATCATACTTTAACTTGATCCATAGATGTCTTTTAGAGATGCTATCTCTGAATATCTTATAGTAAAATGTGTCAACGATCATAGTGTGAGATGGACTGGACTTAAGTTCATTCTTTAATAAAATTGCATAAAAAGATAATTTATGACTTTTTTCTTATATTGCAAAATGATATTGAAAAACAATAGAAGAAAAAAAATTATATTATCTGTTGTACCCTTTTCAACCGATCAGAAGACAAGATAGGTTTTGTTTTTGAAAAGTACCAGTTTGCAGTCTGTTTGTGCATGTATTTGATACGACCATTGACTTCAACGGAAAAGAAAGAGTCTGATTGATTACTATGGAAAGAATCGAATAAACGCATCCCTCGAATGGTGGAACTAGATACATTTGGAAGACAATCAAGACCAAATTCATCCATTGACGTTAGTTCATCATTTTCATTCGTGATATCATTCTCAATAGATTCCTTGTTAGGTTGATGTTTTTCATTATCATCATTTTCGTTTTCCTCTTCATCTGCATCCTGATCTTCACCATCGCCCTCATTGTCGTCTTCATAATTATATGATTCAGAAGAATTTTTATTGGAAGTTGTACATATTGATCCTGATAATCTTTTGTACGCTAAATTATTCACTTCTTCAAAAGATTGCATCATATCATGAGGATTAACAATAGAAAGTTCACATTGAGATAGAATCTGACTAGCTTTAATGTAAGCATTAAAAACTGTTTCTTCAATCAATTGTTCTGTAATCGTAGTTGATATTGTAGACGTTGAGTGTACTTGAAAATGTTGTTTAGATTGTTTGTGATGTTTGGGAAATCTAATATTATTGTTCTTGGATTCAGACGCGAACACTTGACACTTTGAAGAACAGCGAGTTTCTCGACACGCTGAAGAAACTCGTGAACAGTAAAGTTCACCACAGATGAAAATGGACCGGACATCGAACGAGCTGCATGGAAAGTACTTTCGCATACTTGTGAATTACATAAAAAAAACATTTAATGCTTCTTCAGTAATTTTCTGTTCAGCCCATAGAACAATCAGATATGTCAGGCTATGTGCATTCAGTTCGAGTGAGAAAAGAGCACATATTGTGATAAAGAAGTTCTTTTTTGGAATAATTCTACCAGCGTCACTTGAGAGCAAATTCGAAGCTCTCTCCTTAAGTTCATCAGCCGCTGTCTCGTGTAACCACGCAGACCAGATCCATATAATAAAAACTGAACACCAAGCATAGTAAAGACGATCAATTATATTAGTGCTTTTGTCGATAAAGGCAAAACGGACACATTTTATGACCTATCAAAATGAAATTAATAAAATTTGACCGTTCAGCAGTACTCAGTAATGAAGTAGCGAAAACTTTTAAACAACTTTCGTTATGTCATACATAATATTTTGAAAGAGAACTACCTCGATTATATCATATCTAACGACTCCATACTTAGAAAAAGCAAAAAATATTACTTGTAGATAAGCTTGGGTTGCTTGAGAATTCGAAACATTTTTAATAGAAGAAAAAAACAGCATCACTCGTGATCTTTTCGCAAGATGAATAATTTTGTTTGTCCTTTGGACAAACATCTGATATGGCTAATCCATGATCGATCTTTGAATGGTTCTCAATCAATTCCACGAGATGTTTAATGCTGGCATACCTTTTTCCTATTAATAAAATTGTTTTTGAAGACAAAAGACGGTTGCGCAGCTTAGTACATAAATGTGGCGCATCTTGTAAACATACAAATAGCTGTGATGATCTCAAAAAAAACCATGAAGTTTTCTAAACAATGGAAAACAAGAATAAGAATAAATTCATGTGCTTGAACATTGTTTTTATTGTACTGAAATACTAATATTGTTTTCCGAAAAATTCATTGATAGGTGATAGCTGATGAAAGATATTTTCAGATTTTTTTTTCTAAAAACGATAATTGAAGGTGATTATTGTATTATTTTTAATTCTCAAGAAATAAAATAGATTTATATGAGAAGAAATACTTCGTCAACCTATAAATAGACACCGAAGACATTTATTATCCTCTAAGTAATATGAAGAAAATCATCAATCCGTACAATTATAATCGTTTACTCGAATCCCGATTGATTTTCTTTTTCATATGAAACTAATTATACTTGTTCACTCACTCTAAGTAAAGAAATTTCAAAACGATTAGGATGTTCTTCAAATCCCATGGAGTCCCGCATTGCTTTCATTTGTTTTGGATCACAATCTGCTGAGAAGCCTAAAATTCGAATATTTTAATTCATACATCAATCAAAAATACTTGACCATCAATCGAGAACATCTTTAGCTGTATATTTACTGTTGGTACCGTAAGCAGCAAGAAGGAATGGCGGTGGTGATATTTGACCGATAGGACATATTGGTTGAATCATATGTACATTGATAAGAGATGATTTGTCTATTTCTTCATACCAAGTTTCAAGTTCACCAAATGAATTGGTAGAAAAGTAGCGTGGACAAGTTAAACCCAACAAAAGAGTTCGAACGTGAGTCATAAGAAACTTTTGGTACCACCGCAGTACTGTCTTCTCCACAGAATGCGTACTTACAGTCGAATGAATCAATAAAGTCCTTAAAACGTTCATATTGAAATTCACCTTCAATGAAATGCTTTTTAGAAGTTATCAAAATTGATCGTAAAATACTAAAACTAGGAATCAATCCTGGAATATTCAACCGAATGAATTCATAAACCGTACGGCCTCCTAGAATGTATAGGGAGGCAGCGAATTCTTTCATCGATTGTTCATAGCGAAAGGCATTTTTTGAACATATGATGTTTGATAACATATTTGATATAAAATCCAATGAAAAAGCTGTTAATAACTGTCTTTCTAGACAATATATTAGATCTAATAAGAACGGATATTGCTGAAGAAGTTCAGATGAAATTGTTAAAGGCTTGATGTTTACTGACGATGAAGGATCAGTAGATGAAAGAAGAGGACGCAGCGAACGAATAAATTTTTCGAGTTTCGCGCGAATACCAGGCATAACGAAAAATGAATAGTTTCCTAAATTGTTTTTGCTTGGAATACTCAAAAATTCTTTGATTGATGTTGTTTGAGTTGATTCGATTTGAAGAATG